CTCAGGCAGGTCTGTTTGTGGTACAGCAGCACTTTCCACTCGGTCTTTTGCCCAGCCACGATGCCATCGCTGCAGAGCCCGGCTTTGCCGTCCGAGTCGAGGCCACACCGTCGACAACGGCGACGGCGACGGCGACGGCGACGGTGACGACGGCGACGACAACGGAAGAAGGTGAAGGTGACGACGAAGAAGATGAGGAAGACGACGAAGAAGATGAAGCAGAAGAAGAAGATGAAGAAGAAGAGGAAGAAGAAGAAGAGGAAGAAGAAGAGGGAGAGAGAGAGAGAGAAAAGAAAGTGGAGACTGGCCGAATCGAGGTGGACGTCGAGGCGGTGAGGCGTGGAGGCGAGGAGACGAGGGCGATTTGCCGGGACGACGAGAGACACGATTGTCCCGTGACGGCCAACTTCTTCGCCGGTCAGTCGACGGGCCACTTGGCCGTCGGAGCGGCGAGGCGGCGAGACGGGAAAAAGGCGAAAGAGATGACACCCGCAACGGCGACGGCGACGGCGACGAGGCAATTGGAACTGCTGCGCTACCTGCCTCAGCAACAGCATTTGTACCCGCACCAACCCCAATTCCACCAGTTGCCACGTGGCCCAGAAGTGGAGGCGCCCGATTATTTGGTGCCGGACATGGACCGGCGCGAGCATCGCCTCTTCGGTTCTGGCCAGAGTCACGTCTACGGCGACGGCGATGGCGACGGCGACGGCGAGGATGGCGAAAACGGCCGGCTCGGTGTAGCCTCGAGGTTTCTCGGTCCGGGCTACTTGGACGCTCGACTGGCCACCGAGGCCAGACATTCGGCGCCGCTGGTACCAGTTCACGGTTCGACGACGTCCGCCTGCGACCTGGTCGTCTTCGAGCCCGCGCCTTTGGACTATTTGGCCGCTTGTCGACTCGGTCTGACCTCGGCTTTCTCCAACCTGACCGGCCGGCTCGACGACGTCGTCGACGGCAACTCGGAGACGCAGCAGACGGAGGCTCGGACAACTTTGACACAGCCGCCGCCGCCGCCGTCGCCGATGACGACGACGACGACGACGACGGCGACGGCGACGGCAACCGCAGAAACGGCGACGGCGACGGTCGGTCGGTTCGTGTCGATCGGTTTCGACGAAGTCGACCAGACGACCGGCCAGCCTGAGGGTCTACAGCATGCGGGACATCAGAACATGCCGTCGACGTTGGAGAGGAATGGGACTTTCTATGTTTCTGGGGCGGCAGACGCTTCGCGTGTCTTGGGCTACTCGGACTCGTTGGCCGTCGACACGGCCGGACTGAGTGGCCTCAATCTGTGGCCAGCTTGTCACTTGTCCGGCCGACCGCGGCACCAACAAAACGGTCTCATGTGTCCGCCGGAGCAGATGGAAGTGGACGAAGAAGACGAGGAAGAGGAGGAGGAGGAGGAGGAGGACGACGACGACGACGACGACGATGACGACGATGAAGATGAAGGCGACGACGACGACGATGATGGTGAAGAAGGCGAGGAAGTGACAGGTGTTGGCGAGCGACCGGCCAACTCGCGCAGATGCCGCGCGCTCAGCGACTTTGCGATCGCCGTGCCAGCAGCCGCGTCGACGTCGACGTCAACGTTGACGTCGACGTTGCCGAAGGCCGATCTGTTGATGGATCCGTCCGCGGTCACGTCGACGCAACATTCGACTGGTCGCCTCGACTACTCGAGGCAGACGCGAGCGCCGATTTTTGCCTCCAACTCTCTGGCCACGGGCTACCTGATCGGCTTGACCGAGGCCGGATTGGCCGGTCTGCCCACTTCGGACGGCTACTTCGCCGACTTGGTCGAGGCCGCGATGCCGGTGGCCACCTCCTGCCCCCTCGCCGGCCTCGCCGGTCTCGCCGGCCTCCCGGCGACCGTGCGCAACGCCACCAACCTCATGCTCGGACTAAGTCCACTCGAGGAGACCGACGAGGCAGAACTGCTCGCATCTGTCTCGACGCCGACGTCGACGTCGACGTCCGCGTCGCCCTCGCCGTCGGCGGCCATTTCGTCAGTCTCTGCAACAACCACAAGCACAACGACCACTGCTACCGCCGCCGCCGCCGCCGCCTATCTTCTTCCCGCAGGCCTGTTGGACACGATGCCCATGCTGGAGGACGACACTTTACTCGCCCCAGCAACCAGATTCACAGAGCCCGGTGAAGAAGCGACCAGTCTGTTCGGTATGCACCCGCTCTCCAGGCTCTCCAGCCTCGGGGCCGCGTCTGTAGAACTCTCCTCCTCCTCCTCCTCTTCCTCGTCCTCTTTGGACTCTTCGCCCACAGTCACTCTTCAGCCGAGCAAGAGATCTGTCGCCATGGCAACCGGCATGGGACAAGACCTGCTTCTGCTCGACCAGCCATCCTCTTCTTCTTCTTCTTCTTCTGCTTCTGCTTCTGCTTCTGTTTCTATTTCTGCTTCTGC